AAATCTTTTGTTTGATATATGATGGCATATATGATTTTTATGACTACCTAATAGTCTTTTTACGTAGTTCCATTGTATTTAAGTGTGTAAAAATTATACTTGACTTCGAAAAAAAGGGATTCAAAAGCAGCTGACTCAAAAAAAGCTTATTATAGAATTTGTAAATAACAATAGCTGATTAAACTGTCTCAATACGTTTCTTTTACATATAAATATTGACAGATATGATTACTGAGGACCAATAAGCATTTACGAGAGGCACTTACATATTAATATGTATGAAATTTATGTAACGAGAAAAAATATTATTAGACCTCACAGAACTTGAATAAGGGACAGAAGTGAGTTAACTTAAAAGTGATTTTTCAAAGTCTATGTCAATAATGTTAGATTAAGGTTTACAACATATTGCTACATTTGTTTTTGTATATATAGTCGTAAATAATGAGTATGCTGACAGTACGACATACTGTAGGAATATTTTTTCGTTTTCAGATTTTAAGATCAGAGATTATTTTTGCACGCCGCAGATATTATATATTAGTAGGTATGTATGTACGTAGCTACCTTATTTTAAATCGAGTACCTGGCGACGTTTTGCTCGACGAATGTGCTCGTTCAATGGGTCATCATTAAGTGACAACAATCCAAGTGTCACAGAAACTACGAGATCTCGCTATGTGACTTTGTCAGCATGAGGGCAGACGGAAAAAGCTCCCATTCTTATATTTATGTATTTATTTATAAAAAAATGTTTTTATGCCTTATTTAAAAAGCAATACCTAATCTAAATAGAAACTTTGATCCAAATTGTTAGAGCCATATCCGAGATACAGGAAAAAAATATACAAGAACTGCTCATTTAATATTTTAAGTACCTACCTGGACCACCGAGCTTCGCTCGCAGGTTTTGGTCAAAAGTACAATTTTCTTGAAAAAAAAAACTAAAAACTTGAATAAATAATAAAAAAAATAAAAATAAAAACTTTGTATGCGACCGAGATTCTCGACAATCTCGTTCGCAAACAAAATTTTATCAATAGTATAATTTTTCATCTAAATTGGTTCAGTGGTTTCGGAGCTTATTCGGTACAAGCAAATCAACAAACAAACAAAAAATGAAATTAGGTATTTGCAGTTATATGTGTATTGTAAAAAGTTATTTAAACGTCAATCGCTTATTTTTCTCAAATCAAAATTTTCTAACTAACTCAGTAACTTTGTTTCGAATTACGCGTAGTCTCTATTATTTGACTCCGTATTTTGATTCTAAATTCTAATTTCTAAATTGCGGTCTTTCAATATCATATTTTCTAAGAAACAATTTATTAGATTAAGTTTTATATTATGGGTCATTAATTTATTTCGTAGTGGATGTTTGTGACGGATTTCATTTTCGTAATTGTGCCTTCCATTCTGATATAATAAAAATAACTATTATAGTTTTAGATATTATTAGTTTGTGATAATCTTGATAAGTAATGTACTATTAATGTTATATATACGTATTAATCCAATTTTCTATAATAAATATAATAGAAAATAAGATAATTAATTTCATTTATAATTTAAGAGTAACAGACGTATTTTAGCTCAATGTATTTAAATATCGTGATCTACTTGCTAGTAAAACTGTTTATTTTATGTTTAAAATCGTAGATGAAATCTATATATTTATACGTGAAGCAAAAGCTTTGTACACCTTTTTACGAAAATTGCGCGGACGGAGGAGTATGAAATTTCCCACACTTGTAGTTTATATAGAGAAGGAGTGTAGAATGCTAATATTTTTTTTAAAATTATGCATAAAAATACATTAAATCAATAAAAAAACATTTTAGACACTAGCATGTATTTGACACACACACACACACACACACGCACGCACGCACGCACGCACGCACGCACGCACGCACGCACGCACGCACGCACACACGCACGCACGCACGCACGCACGCACGCACGCACGCACGCACGCACGCACGCACGCACGCACGCACGCACGCACGCACGCACGCACGCACGCAAGCACGCACGCACGCACGCACGCACGCACGCACGCACGCACGCACGCACGCGCGCACGCACGCACGCACGCACGCACGCACGCACGCACGCACGCACGCACGCACGCACGCACGCACGCACGCACACACACACACACACACACACACACACACACACACACACACACACACACACACATATATATACTCTTTTGTTTATTGTTAAAGTCTGTTTAAAATTTTAAGTAAGTAATTCTGATCATAAATATTTTTTGGGTTGTATTATAATGTTTTTCTGTGGGAATATAATAATCTTCCACGGTAAAAAGTAGCCTATGTCACTCTCTAGCCCCCCAACTATATCCACACAAAAATCACGCCAATCCGTCTCTGTGTTTCGACGTGATAGAAGAACAAACAAACAAACCAACAAAAACACTTTCACATTTAAAATATTAGTATGGATTAACAATAGAACCCAAAACAATTATTTGTAGAACTTTTGTCTGTTTTTCTGTGCATTTGTGCGCGATAATCTCAGAAACGGTTTAACCAATTCGGGCGCGGTTTTCATTCATATATTGTGTTTTAAGCTTCACTTAACATTTAGCATTTGTTTTATTTCAATTGGTTCATAAATAAAAAAGTTATGTCTATTTATAGAATAAGGTTTTTGCTATATTTCCGTTGTTTTCATCATTCTCATGTTTTTTTTTAATTTAACAGTAGACTGCAGGCTATTCGCAACAGGACTGCCTTCCGAGCCAGTGGTAGCTTCCCGGACCGAATACACAATCTTTAAATTAAATGACAAAACAAAAGTGCTTGTACAAGTCTAAGTGAAAAAAATAAAATTTAATCAACCGACTTCCAAAAATGAGGAGGTTCTTTATTCGTCTGTATGTATTTTTTTATGTTTCACCGAATGTGTGTCATATTCACCAATTTCGGAGACAACCGATTCTGCTACTTTAAACTGTATTCTAATAATAGATAAAGCTCTACGTGGTCCCATAAAATTTTCTTTGACATGGAGTTTTCCGTTTACATATAGTAAATGAAAACCCCCATTTTATTTTCATTTTGTCAAAACATGGCAAGAGGTTCTATATCTATCTATAATATATGCACCTACCACGTTACCAGTTCTATATCTATCTATCATATGACTTATGTGTCCATCTCGAGCACGGTGAAGTAATCAATAGCCGAGCCAGGGCAGAGAGGAGCGGAAAGCGGCGTCATGGTCCATGACTACACACGGGTCATTGTGCATAGTGGATGGATCATGGTGATGGCAATCCAGGGATCGTGGTTGTATATGAAGTAGCGAGCTTAATATGTGCATTTGGTTAAAATACTATTTTTTATAAAGAGTGTTTTTAGTTTAAAACTAATCAAATGTTCTAAGATGTTCCGTTTCCTAATACCTTGGTACCTTGGTTTCCTAATACCAATTTTTGTATAATATATTTTATTTTGTGTTTCAAGAAAAAAGAGTCCCTATTTCACTTTGGTTTATTAAAGCATTATTTAATTTCTGTTACAGCGCAAAAAATTGCATAATATGTAAACTACTAACTTCCTGCTTCCTATATTCTTCTATACATATAATAAAATTATTGTAACTGAGACGAATCTGTACTTTCAATATTTTTTGGAAAATCTTATTGAGATAGACGTTATTATCGATACAGAGGCCGAATCTACAGTTTTTAGATTTTTTGTCTGTCTGTTACCGCATCACAGAAAAACCAGTGTAGGGATTTTGATGAAATTTGGTATGGTGATAACTGGTTATCCGGATCAACATATAGGATACTTTTTACCGTAAGAGTTTAAGAGTATACTAATACATGTAAGACCTAAGAATTTGGTTTTTGGTCATCTGCACACGGGTGGAGCCGCGGGCAATGCTAGTTCTTTATATATATGATTGTAATATGCCTAATATGCCTTATTTAATTATTTTATTAATTTATCATTCCTTTAACGAACTAAGAGTTGTGATATACGGGATGAAATCTTTAGCCATTTTTGTTGTGTTACGCCAAAGAAGTATAACTTTTTTATATTAAAGGATTAGGAAAGGACATAAATACTTTATTAAAAATAAAATAAATAAAACGAAATTCCATCATATTATTATTTGTGTATTAGCTTGATAGTTATTTAACAATAAATCATTAAAATATCATGTTTACAGATTTTAAAGTAACTTATTCGATAACAAAATACAACAATTTTCGTAAACCATCTTAACATAACGGCTATGCCTTTATAAGTAAAACTTTTAATAATTTGGATCTTAATAAGAACAGACTGTACATTTGTATTACATACGTGACAAAAACATAAATACATTTAACACATTATATGAATATTTTATCTTATAGTACTAACGTTGAATAGTAAACGATAATATCTATTATGTACAACGTATATTAACCTAAATGATCCTTTAACGCTTAAAAACTTTTATAACTAGAGCATCTTATTATTAATATTTTTTTTAAATAGATGCTAGCCGAGATTTAAATACAGTTTAATATCCAGTACACTTTACTTGTACAGTGGATTTAGAATGTCGTTTTGCTTAAATATTTAAATTATGTAAAAAAGTAACTATAAAATAACATTAATTCAAATACAAAATTATTTTACTGATTATTTAAATAAATAAGTAAAATATTTGATGCCACTTGATTTTTGGTCCTTGTGACACAATTGCGTGACATGAATGCTAATTTCTTTAATATATATATTTTTAATATTTGCCAGTTTTATATGAACATTTTCATATAATTAAATTGCCGTTATAATAGTTTTTACAAGGTCATTACGACAACATGAAAAAACATTTAGAAAATTATGCAAATAATTAAAATATAAAAAGCTTATTATCGTATAACAATTACAATTATAATATGTATGTATGAAGAGTTGGAACAATAAAAATATCACGAACGAAAATATTTTAAAATTATAAATTTATATAAATAATAACAGCGATATAATGAAGATAAGTAAATGTAAGTTATGGGCCTTTAAGAATATGGATCCCTTATTCCAAGTGTCGTGGTGAACTGCAGCTTGATTTTCACCTAAGAAATATTTATTGTAAATAAGTGTAAATACATATACTCTTAATAACTTAGTTATAATAATATTTCGAATGACGATTGCGATAAGTTTGCTATTTGATGATGGAGAAGAAAAATGATATCTTTCCATTGCTCCCATTTGATTCCATTATTTTTTTATTTTTAGTTATAATATATATTTGTACGATATCAATAGATACAAGTAAGTAACTCACCTATAAGGACATGTACGTTTACAATCACTTGTGAATGATTTCGCAAATGGCACGTGTAAGTGCCGCTGTCATTTTGCGACGCCGAGCTGACACTGATTGTGGCGCTGCAAATAAATTACTCAATAAATAATTAAGCATTACCATATATCTACATATATAAAAATGGATGTGTGTATATATGTTTCCTATGGACTCCAAAACTATTGGAGCGATTTTTATAAAAAATTCGGAAATCTTCAGATTAAACCAACGGGTAAACGCGGGTGAAGTCGCGGGTATAGTAGAACGATAACGTTTTTACTTTTTGTTTTTAACTATTTGGATATATTCTAAATAATATTAAGTGGTTTAAATATAACGCAATTTTTTAGAGATATTTTTGTTACAAAATTGTAAATCGTATATGCGTAAGTTCAAATAATAGTAATTGAAATTAAAGATTCAATTACATCATAGTTTGGCTAATGAAATACATATTATATCATATTAGCCATTTTACAACTTAAGTTACATTTAACATGTTTTCATAATTAATCTTGCTATTGTGTACCTTTTTTTTTTGATGTTGGAAAATACCTTTACGCATACCACCTGTATACATACAGATGGTTATGTGACACTTATCGGCTAAAAAAGTCAGTACTACCAACTTAAACTCAACAAAACCTCCCCCGTCTTAATGGGGCATCGCAGGATCATTTACGCACTCAACCACGACCGCAGGACGTGCCCCGACGACAGGTCTGCAAAAGTAGATTTCTTCAACCAGGGGGTACCAGGAGCAACCCACATGGCACACCGCCCACTAAGGTGGGCCCGCCTCCCAGTGCATTTCTTGGCTTCACGCCTGACGGGATCGCGGGACGCCAAAGAGCCCTACCACGACAAAATGAACGCACGTTGGGGGGAGGGGGAGAGGGGGGGGTTGCTATTGTGTCCCTAATACAAGGGTTTCGTTTTGCCATTTGGCTACCGAACCTTAAAAAATGAGGTAGTAATTTGAGAAAAAACAATAAGCTACGAAACATTCAAACTTATATTACTATAAATATTACCTTAAATCAAAAGGAATAACAGACATTTCTAAAGCCATTCGAGAAGAAGGAAAACAAAAAAAATTATATACAACTAGACCTACAGAAAATAGAATATACATAATATCGTCACGCCGTAAAGATCTAATAGATGAAAGCAAAACTATTTCTAGTATTCTAACTTTGAAAGTTTGTGATGATATTTATATGTTTGTTTCTCAACTATGGCTAAACAGCCATACTAATATTGTAAATGTGACAGTTAACTCTGTCTGCTACATTTCACGCTTAAGCCGCCGAACAGATATTGATAAAATTTGGCAAGGACATAGAATGCATCTTGGGATCCGTTAACCCCGCCCCTCTTATCACGCAAGCGAAGCCTTTTTCTATTTATTTATATATAATTACATTTACAGCTTGTTGTACAATAAAAACTTATTGTGTGTAATACAAAAAAACAATAAATATTTACTATTTTAAACTAATTAAATTAATTATGATTTATAGAAAGATTAATATTTTCTTAGTTAAGTTAAATAGCTCTTTAATTATTAGTAATACCAGGGACTAGTCATAGTAGAGACTAAGCACTTTTTTTCTAATGGCGAACCAAAAATCAAAATAAATCCGCGAAATAATCCGAAAAGATAGTTTTATTTAAAATGTCTAATATTCGCGTAAATGTTCGAAGGTATTATGTGGTTGGTTTTAGAATTTCGTTTATAATTTCAATTGGAAATACTACCATTACAAATTAATTAGCGGCAAAAAGTTGGTCAGTTATTTTAAGAGAGATTATACCTACAATTTCACTTTCCACAGGGAAAGATTCACAAAATTTTCCACAGGGAATAGTTGTATTATTAAATGAGAGTAGAAAGGCTCATTATTACTACCTTGAAGATATTATGTTCAAGATAGAAATAATTACCCTGAAATACGTTTGGTTTCATCTATTAGATCTTTACGGTGTGACGATATTATCTATAGTCAAATTTCTGTAGGTCTAGTTGTATAGAATTTTCTTTGTTTTTGTTCTTCTCGAAAAACTTTAAAAATATCTTTTAATATTGACATAAGACTTATATTCCTTTTGGTTTAATGTAATTTTGATAATCATTGGTATACACAAACTTGTTCACCTTTGTACAGATCTTGTTTTGTTCTCATTATCTACTGAAGCAAAAGATTACGGTAGGCATTTTTGTATATACGAGTAGGTACGTTTCTATTAATCAAATAATATTCCGATTTGTGCCAGCATTGATATGTTATAGAGATTTATATGTTCCAGAGAAGTTTGAACGTATAGCGAAGTATACTAGAATGATAAAAGATTATGTATATCACTATAGTTCGCACAAAACTTAAATGTTCCCCGGAAGTTGGGCGAAAGTCAATGCGCACCACATAACTTTGGATATTGGAGTACCTACTATATTATGCCATACATATGTAGGGTATATATCATACTATTGTCACATATTAATGAAATTATATTTTATTGCACAAACAACATCGTGTGTCCGATGCGAGTCAATTTGGAAACGAAAACTTCGAGTACATATAAAGAATGAAAGAAAAACATCGATGATAAATACTAATTTAACTCTGAATTACTTACAATATGAAATTCCCTATTTTGTTGGCTACAATACTTTAGGTTTAGTTAGGGACCATTGAAATATTAAACCAATTTAGCTGCTCAATTGAAAACATCTATTAAAATAATAATACTTAATTGTGGCTACGATGAATATTATCTTAAGAAATTCAAGAAAACCAAAATAATTGATGAATCGAAATATAATAAAAAGAACGATTACAATAAAATATTATCCGTTCATAAGACTACTATTGTTATGACTTATTGATTTCAGAGAGCGGACGTTCTCTCGCTTCCATATCGAATGACTTTCACAACCTAGATTCCTTTGATATTATTCATCGGTTCTTTTATCTTCAAGTTAGAACGTGATTCTTGTGTTTATTACAGGATCTATCAATTGTTATCACTTAAGTATCGTTAAAGCATAAAGTATATCATAACTGTACCTATAAAATATAGCAGTGACTTAAGCGAGAAGAAGGCAGATGCTTCGCTCGGGTGCCATCTTAGGTGTTTAAAGCTTTAAAGCTCTAATATGTTACTCTAGGTCAAAAACTATCTGTGTACTCAATATCATACAAATCTATCCCACAATTTCAGCGTGAAGGAGAAAAAAATATATCTAGGATTCATTAAGGTTACTTTGTGGGATAGTAGAAATAAGATCCCACTAAATGCACGAGCAGTGCAGTAGCAAATAATAGTTATGTAGATATTTGAATAACAAAAACTAATAACCTAAGTTTTTTATAATTAGACTTACCTCATGTTACGCCACGAGATAGATTCGTTAAAATCTACTCCTTGTTTTTTCCAAGACAGTCCGTAAACGTTGTTAAGTACAGCTTTAGTAACTGGTTTAACAGTGGTCGGTTCACTACTTTTCCATTCCGTGCTCTTTGTAGTTGTACTTATACTAACTGTTGATGTGATAGTCGTAGTTTCTACACTCCAACTTTTATTTAACATTAAATCTATTCTATTGAATATTGTACTCATTTTAGTGGTCGACTCTGTCGTGGTCGTTAAAGGAGTAGTGGTCGTAGGAAACGTTTTAGCAGTCATTGGAGGTTTAGTGGGCAGCGATGAAATGTAGTCCTCTGATATTACGCAGGAAAGCTTTATGGAACTCCCAGCTTTATAGAATCTATCTTTTACGTCGTGTGTTTTATCGCCATTTATTGTTAATACGGGGGCTGTAAAAAATGATAGCACAAATATAAAATGAACTTATATAAGTCGCTTAAACCAGTTTGAGCGCAATATCTGCTTTTTATTACTTCAGAAGTAGGTTATGCCTAAGTATTATCGATTCGGGATAATGCATATTATGAAATACATATTTCTGTATACAATGTAGTGTCAGATGTGAAGTAGGAAGATAATCGTTCAATGTCTGCATTGACACTTCTGACACCTGATGTTCAATACACTTGTTACTTAACTTCGCCACTAGATAGATATAATAGATATCTTTATATGTAAAAGATATATAAATTATTTATATAATGTATAAAAGCAAACGGTATTTTACTAAGTCACTGTTTAAACTAAAGTATTGATTCAATACGAGGAATAAGAAGTTTAATTTATTTTGACATTTTAATTTATTTTGAAACTTTTCATTTGCTATTTTATTAACGTTACTTCGAATTGAAAATGTTGTATACGAGAAAGCTGAGCGCAATAACACCGTTTAACATTTATCCTTTGCAACATTATTGCCTTTGGCAGTATTAATCACTCGCGTTTTCATTTTGCATTACGCAATTCCCCTTGTATCGGTGCCACTCCATTTAACCCCAATAAAAAAACGTATAAACGCTCAGCAAACGCTAAAACGCTTAAAAGTCAATCTTCTTTCTGTGATATTTTCATACGCCTTCACTACCTGTCGCCTGCGGGTATTTGATTTTCGTTCAAGCATTACAGAGATTAAATATCTTTTGACTACTAAATCACTATATAAATAAAAATGTAAAACTAATTTTTCTCTCACTAAAAGTTAAAAAGTTTACTCTTTCTGGTCGTTCAGAAGAGCCAATGTTTGCATTTTACTTTCGAGTCCATGTTACTGGTAATTATTAAAATGATTGGTTATGGAATAGGTTCTGTATTAAGTATTTAATTGTCTGTCCAATAGGTAAGGTTCGGTTTAAATCATTTTAGTGTACGTCACCGTACTGTTGTACAAATTACTGTATGTAATTACACACAATATAATTTTGGGTTAGGTTTTGATAAGTCTATTTCAAGCACTTAAACAATACAAACACTAAACAAGTGTTTATAATGGAATAATTTATATGGGTTAGGTAACGCAGGTGTTTATTATTTGAAAATAAATCTTTAATTCACTAAATAATCATATAATTTTAATGAAACTCGATTGAAGAAGAATACACAAATGTCCTCCTTGTGCTGTAAAATTTTTTGTACGTAAGTACCTGTTGCAGTGACCTTGAGAATTAGTATACAACCTATAGTAATACTTATAAAATTAGTATATTGTATAAGTAGTCTCGGAACAAGCAGAAGGGTTTTGCATAAATTTTGAATATTTCACGTTAATTTAATCTCAAATTGTAGTATATCATTAAAATTATAAGCTAAGATTTACATGAATCTACTTACGAAGTACAGAGAAATTAGCATATATGGTTCTTGGAGGGTGTGTAGATATTTGGCACATATACAATCCAGCGTCAGACCACTTTACTGGATTGATGCTAAGCCTCCAGTTATTTGGGTATTGAAATTTCACAGCCACGCGGTTATCTCCGGCGTACGGAGCCGGTCCGACGGTCAGAAGTTGAGCGGTGTCCGTCGTGTTCCTGAGCCACATGACCTGTGCAAGTACAGTCAAATGTATTACTAAATCTATATATTAAAAGCTTTCTTTTTAGTGAAGATTTTATTTGTGAAAGCTTCACTAATTTTTAATTCATAATTAAAATAACCATCTATTAACACTAGTTGTAGATGTGGAAATAAATTTTAATTGATCCGCTCGAACAGAGCACATCAGTAGGTATTAATGTGCTTTGATTAGTTTTATAACATAATAATATTTACCAAATAATTTATTTAATAAAAACTTTTTAACAAAAAAATAAAAACCGACTTCAAACAAAAGCACTAAAAAGTAAAAAATAACTGATTGGTAGTTTTCATTTACTATATATACCTAATCAAATATTTTCGAAGTCGGTGTGCTTTGCTTTGTATGGGCTGGCACCGATTTCGAAAATATTTGATTAGGTATGTATTTAATAGGTAGGCTTTAATTACTTAGCCAAAGCACACCGACTTCGAAAATATTTGATTAGGTATGTATAGTAAATGAAAACTACCAATCAGTTATTTTTTACATTTTGTGCTTTTGTTTGAAGTCGGTTTTTATTTTTTTGTTAAAAAGTTTTTATTTTTCCCTTTTTAGTGTAGACAGTAGTAGCAAAGTAAGAATTCTAACGTATCAGGCTTGTTAAATCAAACAAAACAAGCCCAAACTCAAAGTATCTACTATTAGCCGTTGAAGAGTTCCACCTATCCACCTTCTGGCCTTACCATCAGATCAGGTCAACAATACCAAACCACTGTACTATCAACGGAAATAGAAACACTTGCAAAGTTTCAAGTCAATATGACAATTAGAGTAGGTTAAATTCATCATTAGCTATTTTTCCACCTTTAGGGGTGGTATTTTTTTTTTTGAAATTTAAATGGGACCAATCTGGAAGTATACACTTTCAAACAACATAAAAATTGTCCAAATCGGTTGATAAATGACGGAGTTCTGAGGTAACAAACATAAAAAAAAACATACAGTCGAATTGAGAACCTCCTCCTTTTTGAAGTCGGTTGAAAATGAAAAATCTCAATGAGAAGACATCATTTAATAGTATATTCTGAGTATTAAAAAATCATAAATTGAAAAAATATACATATATTAAATTAAGACATATAATAAGATATTATTTTTTACTTACAGTTTTATCTTTAAGCATCACAACACGACAGTGCAGTAGAGCTTCGGAGCCCACGTGGGCTGTAACTTGTGTGATATTTCTCTCCTCAAAGTATGGACCCCAGTGACGCTCATAGTGATGATATTCTTGATATGGAGCGGGATAGTGTCGGGGTTCCTCGACCTTGTCTTGAGGAATAAAATAACATATCAGATTTTAACTTTTTGTAAAATATCACATGTTAAAGACTTTAGAAACATAATTCAACTATTGACTTGAACTAAAAGGCAATCTAAATTTTTGAAGATCTATCCACAGATACCCCATAAGTTTTTGTTTGCCCTTCAGTTCAGTTATTTATTTTTTTGAAACTTTTCGAGTAAAATGTCTGCGATATTAGGACAGACGGACAGACGGACCGAAGGAAAGATAGATATACCGACCGACCGACATACGGACATACGGACAGATCGACAGACGGACAGACTAACAGATCGATAAACGGATATACGGACAGACGGACATGGCGAAGTTATAAGGTTTTAGCCATTTAACATAGCCTTTAACAGGAAATAATTGCGTAGAATTTATTTTTACAGAAAATGAATCGGGGGGCACGGAGTGCCCCCGCCAAGTCGAGCAAAAAAGGGCACGACAGTACCATCCTTTTCTCGAAGCGATTCAGAGCATTTTCCACCCCCCCATAACTTCGTTATGGATAAAGCTAGAAGCCTGAATTTTCAGTGACTAAAAGAACATAATAAAACTAGGCATATTTCCAAATTACATTCAATTTGAACCTGTAGTTTAAGAACTGTTGCAGATCAAAATTCGTTAAAATCGTCACTCACACACTCACTCACTCACCGATCATCAAAATTCTAAGGTACTTCTAGCAGACATAGGAGTTTCAAATTTTGAACACAATTAGTGTTTATCCTATAACGCAAGGAAAAACTCAAACATCATGCAATTTCAATCCTGTTTTCGAGATATACAAACTGCATAAGTAACTTTGTATTCCTATACAAATAGATATGCGATATATGGGATTACAAAGTTATGTTTGCAGTTCATACATATCATTTTTCGTCACTTAAACTACCCAAATGTATAGCTGGGTAAAAAGTAGATATACTGTAAGTGTTAGCGACGACTAAAATATAATTATCAATATTGTAAATAGTTTTAAGAAATAATATATTTAATATATAAATTATCTATACTAATATTATAAAGAGGTAAAGTTTGTGATCTTGTGAGTTTGTGACGTTGTAGGGGGTAATCTCTGGATCTACTGAACGGATTTTCAAAATTCTTTTACCAATAGAAAGCCACGTTCTTTCTGAGTGTCATAGGCTATATATTAACCCGAAAAATGAAAAGGCTTTTTCGTAGCAGTCGGATTTGCAAAGTATGTCGGAGAAAAAACGGTCGAACGAAAACGTTTCTTACTGTTATATATATGTTATGTATATAATGGCGCCTAGTAGCCCTATTCCTTCTCCTTGGTCAGCACTTTTGATGGTTCATAATTATTAAATATTAATTATAGTTCAGTTCGATTCCAACATCCGCGCGTGACACTTGCCCTAATAAAATCGGGTCCAATCTATTAAATAAAACTGTTTTATGTAATCCCAAGTATTTTCTTTTTTTTAAAAACCAATTAGTGAAAAGTGCTATAATATTACGAACGCTGCCTTAACGATGAGAAATATATGATTATGTTCTAGAGAAAAGTTGTAGAGCTTAATAATGCCTACAAAAAAGTCAGCGACAGCATACGTCTAACTTTTATATTTAAGTCACAAAAAGTAGTTTTTTATAATAAAAAATCATTTAAATCGGTAGGTCATGTTTATTGGTCATATTATCAACAATTATGAATTCTTATCAAAATAAGTAAATTTTCTTTTACAAAGTATGATGTTGATATGAATTAGAAAACTTGTCAACATCTCATTGCTCGTAATTGTACCCACCTATTAGAACATGGAATATAGAGGTCATGAGATATCAATCTCTTCGAAAATTACTTTTAAAATGGAATGGAATAAAACTTTCGGGATTTAACTACGATGCTGCAGATAGACACATAAATCTACACGTCTTATTAAACTTATGTAAGTCGAATATCAGTATCGGGGTAGGTATTTAGGGTCAACAATGAAATTAAAATATTCGTTAAATTAACTATACATATTTATACTTAATGCATAAGATAGTAGTATTAAAGTCCAGGAGTCCGTAATTTCCCAATACAATAGACTTAGATTTTTTATCATCCAGACTTGTCAAAATTTGTTACCTATATCAAAGCCTCTGAAAAAAGCCCACAGAGACAAGGAGTGGGCTTTTAAAAAGTCCTTACCTGACACACAAGAAATAGTACAAGAAAAGAGAAAAAGAAGAAATATTTACAAAAAGAAATGAGATCCCATCAAAAACATTCTGTAAAAAAATTGCAAGTCTCGCAACGCATTTCTTCTACCGCAAAAAGCTATGAGATGTAATGTAAAACCAAGTCGGTTAATTTATTCATTACCTATCTATGGAAGCATCTATCCGACAACTTTGTCATAAATCGTTACCGAATTAGTTAAGTTACAACATTTTATAGTGACCGTATTAATATTAGATATATTTATTTCTTTAATTAATAGAATGACTTGGCCATCGCACATGATTATAGAACCTACAAATAACATTGCATGCATTATTTATGTTAGTGTATGCATAAATTTGAGCCGCTAGTGCTATGTTCAGTTCACCTCAGCCCAAACACGTCCACAGCTGGACCCCCAAAAAGTTCCACGACAACCAGTCTTGTGCCATCCGCATCCAGTGGGCTCCAGCGACTTTGACCAAGTCGTCCGTCCACCTTGGTCATGATATGTTTAATTTGGACTATTTAAAGTAGTAGACTCATATGTGATTATGTTTCCGTGCGATGGACAAGTCATTCTATTAATTAAAGAAATAAATATATCTAATATTAATACGGTCACTATAAAATGTTGTAACTTAACTAATTCGGTAACGATTTATGACAAAGTTGTCGGATAGATGCTTCCATAGATAGGTAATGAATAAATTAACCGACTTGGTTTTACATTACATCTCATAGCTTTTTGCGGTAGAAGAAATGCGTTGCGAGACTTGCAATTTTTTTACAGAATGTTTTTGATGGGTACACATTACACATACTTCAAAAATGAAACGAATTAAATAGAAGGCAATGGCAAGGTACGTGTGGTAAAAATACTCGTATGATGAAATAAAATATCCATAAGCTATGGTTTAAAAAAAAAAGTAAATATATTTTTTTATTTTACATTTTGTTCTTTTTGTAGTTTTTTTTATATTTTAGAATATGGAGCCCCAAAATGGAAAAGTAAAAAATATTACTGTATAATAGATTAAGTAACTGCCTCGGTGGTGTAGTGGCTAGCATGTACGGCTGCACACCCAAAGGTCCTGGGTTCGAGTCCCGGGTCGGGCCAAGTTTAGTTATCGAGTCTTTCTGTATAGTAAGCCTCAGTAACAGCCCGGAGTTGGGAAGTTGGCGGTGTTTCACCCCCGTGCCTCGAAGAGCACGTAAAGCCGTCGGTCCTGCGCCTTAACTCTCACTGGTCGTGTCGAGTGGTCGTCCCACCAGAGTATGAGAGTGACAGGAATAGAGAGTGCACGTTGTGTCTGCGCGTACATTTGTGCACTATAATATCTCCGGCGCAGTTGGCTAGTCTCTATGAGATTGGCCGCCGTGCCCGGAATCGGTCAGGAGAGCATCATCATAATAGATTAAGTATAACTAGGAGACATTCATATATATTCATTAATAGAAGCAGTAAATGAGTTAATCTCTTAATATTTTTAACCTACTTAAAAATAGAGAATGTTCTCAATTCAGGTGTTGTTTTTAATTCATTGTTTACACGAACTTTCGAAGGTCCCAATGGAACCCATATAAATGAAAGATTTTAGAGATATTTTTTATACACTCTAATGAAATAATAATTATTTGTAAGTTGATAATATCAAAGTCAGTGTCTTTTTAATTAAGTTAAAAAATTAAGTACCTTCGCGACCGGAGTTTTTGGAGTTTGGAATTTTTGATTTTTTTTTTAATTTAGCTTAAAAACAAAAAAAAGACACTAAAACTTGAATAAATACAAAAAAAAACAAAAGTAAACACTTTGTATCCGACTAGGATTCGAACCCGGACGCTTATGATTGTCAATCTTGCGCCTTGACCATTTAACCACGATATTTATGTCCGAGTATGCGAAAGAAAACCGCATGAAAACTCGAAAACACACGTTTTTCCCAGACATAAGACTAATCTAGATCGATTTTTCGCCCCCGAAAACCCCCCATACTAAATTTCAACGAAATCGTTAGAGCCGTTTCCGAGATCGCCGGTATAAATAAATATACAAGAATTGTTCGTTTAAAGGTATTATATTAATATTTTGTTGTCTCACCTATACATAGTCTAATATATTTAAACGAGCAATTTTTGTATATTTATTTATACCGGCGATCTCGATGCTTGTTCAGTTGATTTTGCTGAAACTTTGGTTAACTGTATTAGTATAGTTGATGATTGACAACTTATATGAACACAACATATGATGAACAAGTTTAAAAATTGATAGTTTCGGAAATGTAGAAGCTTCCAGTGTAAGTTCGAACTCACATGTATGTAGGTATATACATATGGTCGAGCATTTAAAACAGCGTTCAGCTTAGACTGGACGTTATTCGATCGGATAAAAGCGTACCCTGGTAACAGCTAAAGTCGGCTATTTTAGTTAAAAATAATAATAATAAAAATTAAACTCATGAAATTGTGAAGAAAACCGTACCTTGAAGTACGAGGATGGTTCTTACGGAGAGAAAAATTTAAAAAATTACCTGAAAAAGTCTAAAAACAACACTTTTCTATACTCCCATACAAAAGACTCGTAATAATACTTAAAAGTCAATTTGAACTTTAATACCATACCATAAAGTTTAAGCGTTAGTGGAGAGGTTCCGGGAAGGCAAAACAATTGAGTGACTATTATTGTCAATATTATTAACAAAAAAAATGGCTAACGCTGGTTAATAACTATTTATATCTATTTAAAACGTACCTAGCGACGGCACCCGAGTGAAGCGAGGGTGAGCAGCAAGTGTATTAATAAATAAGAACTTGTAATAATAATACTGTCGTTTTTTGCATAGTCAAGTTGCATAATATCTATAGGTAGGTATATATAATAAAATTGTAACTGAGTAGAATCTGTAGATTAAATATTTTTTGGAAAATCTTATTGAAATAGTCATTATTATCGATATAGAGGCCGAATTAATAGTTTTTAGATTTTTTGTCTGTCTGACTGTGATCGCATCACAAACAAACCACTGAACAGATTTTGATGAAAATTAGTATGACGAAAGCTGGTTATCCGGGTCGACATATTAAATACTTTTTACTGCGGGAAATATATAATATATATAATATATCTCAACTCTGAGAAATCTATACTAACGTTAAAACGTAACTAGGGATGAACCCGAGAGGAGGAGCGTGAGTCGCTAGTTAATTTTATACGTGATGTATTATATAAATAAGGAGATCCTTAATTTGTAAGGTATTTAGTTCTCTTTGGAATGTTAACAGCATTATGCTTGTTAAAGTAGATGACGCTACCGTAAGTAAATAATTTACTATGAAACAACTTAACTCAAAAATTTAGCTTTACTTGGTACGTAATAGCGTCATTTTCATTTAATTATACCAAGAAAGTTTGCTGTACACTAAGTATAGAGTTGCTCAAGGATAGTATAATTTAGTATGGAAGAAAATATTACAGAATTTTGAAGTAATATGGTTTTATGAAATATTAAACTTGCTTTATATCCTGCTCTAGTTCAGACAAAAGTATTACAGTCGGTTCTAGCAAAAAGAGCAAAAATGTGTAGTTTTAATTCATAAGTTGCTTAAAAGAATTACTATAGCTGGTGAAACTAAGTAAAGTACATTAAATAACATATTTATTATATATGTTGACACATTTAAATGGAATGTGACATAACACTCGCTCGCCTCTACCTTACACTTAATACTCGTACATTAACGTACACAATAGCTGGAATCGATACTCACTCTGTAACAAATGATCGTTCACGTCGGTAGCGCCTTCCCGTTTGATATTTTCCCGAAGTTTCTTGGTAATATTCCTGAATATCTCCCTGGACAGGGCGAGCCCGTCCTTTTCATCGCTTCGACGCCTTCGGATACCGTTTGTGTGGTAATCCTCGGGAATACGCAGTGGTTCTAAAATATATATTATCTCGTGTATATCGACTTTTATTTACCTATATAAAAAATTCTAATTGATCATATCATAACCTTGTCTCCAATAAAAAATATCAATTTTGACTTAAATATTTTACCTGAAATATTTGTAATCTAAATTAAAAGTAAAATTTATGGAATTATTATTCGTAGCCTGAGGTTTTAATTGAATTTTGAATATAGTATGAAACACTATGAGATTACAATTTCAACCTTTTGAAATAACAAATTCTGATCCAAAAATTACAATGAAAACTTTGGTAAGATAATATAAATCAAAGAATATTTATGTAAGCCTATTTAAATATCTTTTCATTTCATAGTAATATATGATTTTCAATGAAACAGATGGCACGTAATAGTAATTGATTATTAAACTTCATTTCGTTGTGTGAATTTGAACGAACCGAATATCCCTTATAAATGGTTCCCTAAATACCTTAATGTCTTCAGGATATTTGAAAATGAAACCTGATTGGATTTTACAAAAGCAAGGAAATGAAGAATTTATATTTCTATTATACTCTGTATTCGTCTTCTTTTATTATATTCTAGCCGTAAAATATTCGGATATTTACAATTAAAAACTATTTTTAGCTTTTACTTAGTTCAAATTAAGTATGCACGCTGAGTAAGTTTTTAAATTACGGCTCGGTTAGTTAAATGCGAGTTGTTTGTTATGAATATTTATATGATCATTACGCTTCCATTTAAATGAAAACACATTAAAGAGAAAAGAGAACTATTTTTACCACAACCATTAATAGTTAAGTAAAAAAATAATAATCTGTTCCATTTAAATCATTAGTGTAATTTAAAGGTCACAATAAAGCCTGAAAAACATTAAAATTACAAAGTTAAATGATGGCTAGAACCCGCCTAATGACGGTAAAGTTGTTTTTGTCCATAAATATAACATCTATTGTTTCCTTAAAGCTTTTGGTTGCTCCAAATTGGTTTCGTTGACAGCACTCCTTACCGTAACAGAGTTTTGCTATTATCCAACTTACCTCTTTATTTTGTATGGAACTAAAATTTTGCTTTATTTTCGTCTGGTTCTCTTTTCCAGATAAATTACGTTCGAAAAATCAGAAATAACATATTGCTGAAGTGTTTGAGGTTCAGTTTTAAAATATAACACAAATCACAATAACACCCATCGAATATTATATCGATTACTAAACAAAAGCGACATGTAATGTTATAAAGTTAAATCTTTATTTAGAGCAAAAGTATAAAATTAAATATATAAAATTAAATATAATTATAGATTAGATTTGTGTAGTAGTGATAGCAATCAAAAAAATATTTTGATTTTAGTACAATGTACGAGTATATTGTCATATTTTACATGATTTAATAAAAATGTTGGTCAATTTCAGAAAAATTGCTAGAACTATAGTTATTAAACAACGCGCTTAAAAACGTAGATTTTGACAACATAATTAGTTCGCAATAATAAATAAAATAAAGCTTCATCTGCAAACACGTATAATTTAATAGGTATAAGGGTTTTTTAGAATTTCATACCAATGGATGCGTGGATCCGTTGGTACGAAAACTAACGTACATAGGAACTTTACGCTGTCCATCCATATGTCCGTCCGTCAGCCTGTCCTACTTTCAAAGGTGTCTCATCTATTTTTTGTTTGTATTTTATTATATTTATATATTATAAGGTAGCTACTTAAAATTTAAATTTCATAGAATTAATTATAGTACAAAACAAAAGCAAATTATATAAAATGGTCAAGTGTGAGTCGGACCTTTATTAATATTTTATTGCCTTATAAGTCACTTGTATTTCGTCGGCAAACTCGAAGTACACGAGTCCGACTAGCATTTGACCGATTTTTTTAATTCTCGTATACCTGATGCAGAATGGAGGCAGCATAACGCTAGACACACAAAGTAGAGGCCGCCCCACTGCATATTAGACCGCACATCACAGGCGCTGACGCATCACGCCGTTCACCTGGAAAATATTACTTATTTATACATTATTACTCGAGATAAATCGTTTGGAAAGAAGAATAATGCTCAAAATAAAAAAAAATATATAAACCTATATAATATATAGGGTAATATAAAATATAAGGTTTTAATATTAATAGGGTCTTCAATAAAGGTTATTTATTATTTCTCAGATGCATATTTCAAAAGTTGCCCATTTTGAAATTTTCTTCAAATCTTCTTAAAGATCAATTTTTATAAACTTTTTTTTAATTTTATACTTACATAATATAAATAAAAGGCAATAATTCCAACAATAACATGTGTTTTGAGAAAAAAATTGCTTTTAATAAATAGAATGAATGTTATATTTACATTATATTAGTAAATGGTGATGCCAAAACAAATATGTACTTGTATGCATTTAATAACAAGTTGGTTTAACACATCTAATGCTAACGTTAAGTTTGTTTATAGTTTGTTAATTTCCTCCTATGAATAAACCAAACAGCAGTTGTATATTTATTAACCCCCGGCGCAAAAAGTGGTGAAAAAACTTATACGTTTAATGTGTGTTTCTGTATCTGTGAGTCTATTTGTGACATTGTAGTACCCAAATGGATGAACCAATTTTAATTTAGTTTTGTTTTGTTTAAAAGGTGACTTAATCAAGAGTGTTCTTAGCTATAAATCCAGAATATCCGTTCAGCCGTTTATAGGTGATCATCTCCTTTCTACTCGTAGATGGTAAAGGGATATATATGAGTACCATCGACAGATCCAATCTATTCGAAACTTTGCAAGTGCAACCCGGTACTTTAATGAAATTGCATCAATATGGTCATCTTGGCTTAATACTGCAGCGTCTCTGCAAGATACTCAACTCTTGTAAAATACTATGGAACTCGTGTTTAGGCTTGTTGAAATTACCTCAATGAATAGGTTATTCTGTTAGAGGTTTTTTTTAATTTTTAATTTCATTTCTTGTGGAAAAACTGAATAGAAAAAAATGAAAGCAGATTTTTTTTCTGAAATATTAACAAGTTATACTTTATAGAAATCATAATATATGTAAAAAGTATTTCAATTGAAAAATTTTCAATAATTTAAAACAAACTAGTAGTTTAATTGTAAAACAGAGTACATTTAGAGTTGTAGTTATTTACAGTTGTGTCCGCTTAATCCCATATGCAATTACAAAGTTCCTCGATTTCATTGTTAAAGGGTATCTAGCACGAAGAGAGAATAAATATCTACTAACCTCATCTACAATACTTCGAATATGCAAAAGGTCTACTTTAGTTTCAACTTTCTGTCTTATTTTGTTATAGAAAGTTCGCTTAAGTAAACGAAATAAATTTATAGAAACTCATCTTGAATTCCCTCTTTGATTTCAATCTGAAAGGATTAGGATTTAGGATGCTTCGTAGGGTAAGGTGAAGTTTTATTTTTTTTGTCCACAGAGAATAAATAATGGCCTATACATAATAAATCGGTATTAATATTATAAATGTAAAAGTTTGCGGGTATGGATGTTTGTTACTCTTTCACGCCAGTACGGCTAACGGATCTGAACTAAATTTGACACAGAGATAGATTATAGTCTTGAATAACACATAAGTCAAATTTTATCCCGGAAAAATGTAGTTACGGTTCCTGTGCGATAGGATTGTTTTTGCTTCCTAAAGGCGAACCCGAGCGAAGCGAGGGTGAGCCTCTAGTTACTTAACATATACTCGTAAATGCATACACGTGGCACCTCCAAAGGACACTTGACTCAATAGCTTAAAAAATATATGGCTACTGTTATTTACATTTAATTCTCTTTTTATTAAGATATAAAGGTAGATCTAGATATACATACATGTCACGGCACATGACGGGTAAAACATACTTATGTCTGTATGTTTTTCCCGTTTTAATGTGTTAATGATAATATACATTAATTAATGCATGGTCCGTATGAATAATGTTAAAACGTTGTTGTGTGTATATTAATGTAATAGTACACTTAAATGACTCCTCTGAGTTGATTTTAGTACATAGCACTATAGGTAGTAAGGTTTTCTGAGGTTAAAGTAAAAAAATAACTTTTTATGACGTCAATTACGACTGGAGCTACGTTATGCTTTTCTCTGACATTAGCTTTCAAAAAATTGGAAAATCAAAATAAAAATCAAAATAAAACTTAGGCGTGTCTGTGTCCCCCCCAAAAAAAAAAAAAAAAAAAAAGGCGTGTCTGTGGAAATAAAACGAATTACTGAATTATTTTATCTATTTTTTTAATTTAATTAAATTATGACTTTTTCATCTTCTGTATTCTTATTTTGTGTGTGCAATAAAGAATTTATTTTTCAATTTGAGAGATCAACTTTACTAAAAGCAAGTTTATCTCTAAATGGTATTTTGATCTAATTCAAACAGTGGGGAAGTTTGCGCTTTATGTATTTTACTTCGCTACCCTATTTCAATTCCTTTCGCTAGGATAATATTCAATATTTCTAAAGATCTTTTAGCGGCACGATAAAAATTTCTACGAAAATATGTTAAATTCTCTTTACGATGACGAAATTCCAAATAAGCAATAATAAATAAATTGCGGGACGTCAAATCGGCAAGACAGTTATAATTTTGTTTAATAATATGGGAGCCTAGTATGCTAAATGGGGATTTCTCGAATGTCATGGGGACCTATTGGATTTTGAAGTTTGGAGATTGATTTGAAGATGGTAGACAGAAAAAAGGTTATATGATATACCCTTTCACCGGTGGAGGGTCCACCACCGTCTGCAGGCTTTCAAAATGTAAAAAAAACAATCAGTCACATAATACTTTATTTTTACAATTAAAAAAAAAACTTTAATAATTACTAATATTATTTAAGTGTTGCAACACTAAATAATATTAGTAACTAATAGTTAAAAAAAAATAATACTTGTATTTATAATAATAAGAGCTAAAATTAAATAAATAATATTGCTATATTTAATTTTAATACTTAATGTTTTTTTTAAATGTTTAGAAATAAAAAATAACAAATGTTGTGAGGCACTTTAGTGCCATTTTTGAAATCATTTTGTTGTAAAATAGTGGGTAGGCACTGTCTGTGACAAGTATATGTGTTTGAAACGTCTATAACCTTAGTCTCTCCCGTGACCATGATTCAAACGCATTCAAATGAGTCAACAGCATTCGAAACGTCGGGAACTAAAAATCAAAATAAATCCGCGAAATAATCCGAAAAGATAGTTTTATTTAAAAAATCAGTCACACGAAAATACTCGAGCGCGCCAGATATTGATAGTGTATATCACGTGTCCTAGATGATTGAGCTATGTTAAACTGCCGATTTGCAATGTGGAGGTAACCGCACGAGAGGGTAATAAATGGGGGAAAAATAATTATTCGAGCGTGTCTGGTTTTTAGAAAGAATGTTAAGTGAACCCGAAAGTAGCTTCTATTTCAAAGACTGGAGATTCGGACGTGACGCAAGGAGTCAAGACGTCGTGGTGGTGTTTTGAAAATGCAAAAAGCAACGCTATTTTGAAATACTCGAGCGCGTCTTATTATTATACAGGCAGTTCAGATTGATATTCTAGTGGTGCTGACACATAATCTGAAGATTATTTGGAGAGACTTAATACGACGGTTTATTTTTTTTAATGATTTCTTTCTGTAATGTTGTCATGGTGACGGTAAGCAGTGTGAGAATGTTGCAAAATAGTGCGAGATAGAGAATTTTTTGGGATTTACTCAATCCCCTATTGGACTCCCCTACTATAAAAATATCTGGTTTCTATTGTAATTGCGATTGCGGTATGTTTGTTTTTAACTCTGAAACGACTAGACGAATTTGGGTGAAGTTTAGAATACAGATAGACTAACGACTTCAGACCTTGAGAAACATAGCAACTGTTTGACACCACACTGTTAAGAAGCTAGCTATTATTATATTTTAAAATAATATTGGTGTTACAGATATAAATATATTTTTTTTAAATGAATGCTACCTCACTGTTTGTACCAAAGTCATAGGTTCGATTTCTATTATTATGGTAAAAATTTAGATTAACAATGGATAAGCTGAACCGATCTGGTAAATATATTTACTTATTTAAGTATAATTGAAAACAATATCAGGTCTCTTTTATGTAACATTGTACGCTCTATAATCACTTGAAATATTTTTCATGCTCTTACCATGCTACTATTTTAGAATTAATTAAAAATGAAAACTTTGTTTAATACTTCCGGATCCTCATCGAGAGTTAGTACAAACTTTAATTTTAAAATAGTTATATGATGCTTAAACTAGGTATCATAAATCTTATCATAAATCAAAAATTCTGCCTTATAGCTCTAAACTACATATTATATTCTGAAAGTGTACAGGCTGACAGACTGTTTTCTATATTAGTAGAAAAATTCAGTGCTACTTTTTACGCAAAATAATATGTCAATAATTTCCGACTCCCAATAAATCAACTAACGTATCAATTCCTACTTTTAAAGACTTTTATCATCAAATTCTTTAGTTTTACAAAACATTAAAATATGCGTATCGCATACTTGCTATTTTATTTTATTGGAAACAATCAAAGCTATCATAGAGGTATTTTTATCTAGCTTTTTGCCTCCGACAGTCATTTTGCTATTACTTCCGGTACGTGCCTCTTGTTTCCCATTTCCTTCATACTTATCTTAACAGTCACACTATTTGCCAGAATAATATTATTTGATGTTCTGTACAGAATAAAGTAGCTAACATTTGTTAATATAACATGATTATTGAAAGATTTTCATGTTTCAGCAGATAAAAAGAATAAAAGAAGATATCATTATTATTATCATTATTATGTGACTGAATTAATAAGGTATTAACTTAACATATTATTGCCTTGATCTTAACTCTCTTTTATATTTGAATTATCAAAATAAAAAAATATATATTTATGATTTTTATTTTTTATTTTTTTTAA